CCCCCTACCCTTCTCATGGCTCCACCCAACCTCCTCATGGCTCCACCTGACCTCCTCATGGCTCCACCTGACCTCCTCATGGTTCCACCCAGCCTTCTCATGGCTCCACCTGACCTCCTCATGACTCCACCTGACCTTCTCATGGCTTCACCCAACCTCCTCATGCTTCCACCCAACCTTCTCATGGCTCCACCTGACCTTCTCATGAATTTATGGCTCCCACTTTGAAACTGGAAGGCAAAGTGGGGACGAGGGTGGCTTTGTCTTGGAGATAGGGGAGAAGGTCTCTGCTCTATCAAGGGACAATGAGTTTTGGGGTCCCAGGTTCTCACCTGAGAAGAAGTGGACCCCAAACCATGGCTTTAGTGTGACCACAGTCTTGCTTCACACCAGAGTCAATAGACTTTGGTGGCCACCATGGTTTGCAACCCAAAAGAGGTCCATCCCCCCCTTCCAGGACAGGTCCCTTGTCACCTCCCAACAAGGTCAACGTGGGCCTGGAGATGTCACCACCCCAACATTTGCACCCAAGAAGAGATGGACCACAGAGCTCCCCTGTGGTGGTTCCCCCCTTCCGCTGGTGTAAAGGTCAACATCAACCTCAAGATCAACCATCAACGTCAATCCATAGAGTTTGACACTGGGATGTTCCACCAGAAAGAGATGGAACCACCACACATGGACCTACCACCGCTGTGTCCCTCTTGTCCCCCCAACGTGAGCCCCACAGATCTTGTCACCAGAAAGAGGTGGAACCACCACATGTTCCACCAGAAAGAGGTGGAACCACCATGCACGGACCTACCACCACTGTGTCCCTCGTGTCGCCCCATGGCAAATGTCAACGTGAGCCCCACAGACTTTGTCACCAGAAAGAGGTGGAACCACCACGCATGGACCCACCACCACTGTGTCCCTCTTGTCCCCTCAACGTGAGCCCCACAGATCTTGTCACCAGAAAGAGGTGGAACCACCACGCGTAGACTCACCACTGTGTCCCTCTTGTCCCCCCCAACATGAGCCCCACAGATCTTGTCACCAGAAAGAAGGTGGAACCACCGCATGTTCCACCAGAAAGAGGTGGAACCACCACGTGTGGTCCCACCACCACTGTGTCCCTCTTGTCCCCTCAATGTGAGCCCCACAGATCTTGTCACCAGAAAGAAGGTGGAACCACCACATGTTCCACCAGAAAGAGGTGGAACCACCACGTGTGGTCCCACCACCACTGTGTCCCTCTTGTCCCCTCAACGTGAGCCCCACAGATCTTGTCACCAGAAAGAGGTGGAACCACCACGCGTGGACCCACCACCACTGTGTCCCTCGTGTCCCCCCAATATGAGCCCCACAGACCTTGTCACCAGAAAGAGGTGGAACCACCACGTGTGGTCCCACCACCACTGTGTCCCTCTTGTCCCCTCAACGTGAGCCCCACAGACCTTGTCACCAGAAAGAGGTGGAACCACCACGCGTGGACCCACCACCACTGTGTCCCTCGTGTCCCCCCAACATGAGCCCCCCAGATCTTGTCCCCAGAAAGAAGGTGGGA